ACATGTCAGCTATATCACAGAATGCCCAGCACTCTCACACCTTTTTGTGGTGGTACAAAGACAAAAGGTTGCAGGTGGAGGCTGTTAATGGGCAACTGAGAAAAGAACAAAGAGGAGAGGGGTGAAAAGGAGCGAAGAAATGGGGGGTCCAAAGGTCAGGTGTTCAGAGCTGGAGTTTGTAACTTGCTCGACTTGGCACACATTCCTCCTCATGAGAAGCAGCTCTGTCGGCACCTGTGCAGTCTCCCCTCTGTCTCTACTTCCCTCTAATTGGATTTAATAAGCAATTTAACAAAACAGTGCTGCCTGATCAAATCAAACTGCTACTGTCCACCACACTTAATCCTGGGTCACTGCTTTGTAATGCCAGTATGGCCCAAAACCTCCTAACCACCTCCCGCATCACACATTCTTTTCCTCCTTCCTCACCCTGTCCGTTTCTCTTATCGTATACCCTGTCTATCCCAGAATAGGCTGAGAACCCCATTGTCCAAAAGCTGTACCAATAAAGTTCTCACAAGTTGTTGTTGAGCTCAGGGTGCGATCACACTCATAGGTCAATTGATTCCCAGTCCTGCAGCTTCAGCTCAGGAAGCTGGAGTTATCTGTGATCTCTTATAGCCCACAAATGCACCATGATTAAATCTAATAACACTCCAAATAAAAACTCCTAATCAGTCTCATTATAGCATATCCAAAACAAACTGAGGAATATTTAAAAGGACAAGGCAGATCATATTTTATATCAACTGTATTAGCAACACTCTCCACACCAAGACTAAAACCAACAATGATTTGCCTCCATTCATGGTTAATGTCGGTCCGTTCTGGACTAGATTCTTCATTTGTGCCACAGACTACAGTTGAAACATGACGCTGCACATAGTTACTTATTACCCCTTTACAAAACACCAGACCCTAATATTTGTTAAAAATATCCAGAGATCTCGTGCATGGGCCCTGGACTCTTGCTTACTTCAGATGCTGTATAAAGTTATGGCTGTTTGGAGCCATAGGGGCAACATCCTTTAAAAAAAAAAATTGAAACATGTCACCCAGCACAATGGTGTGTTTCCCTGAGGATTCCTCTCAAGTCCAAGTCCATCAAACTGAAAAGCATATAAAAGGGCATTATCCGTGGCACCACACTGATTTAATAAGCAGTGTTATATGATGTACATGCTAATCAAGTAAGCTGAAATGTTATCTGACAAGGAATTTTATTATGTTAAATTATTTAATGCTCAATTAACACTTATACCATAAGTAAATCATAACTAATAATTTAGAAGGAAAAATTATTAGTTTCCATTGTTAAACTTGTGATGGACACAGCTCCAGTTCATACTGTGCAGCCGACATCTCCACTGTCTTCTCTGTGTGATATCAATATTGTAGCTATAACTAAATCTTTAATGTCCTCTGTTGGACCTAGAGGCTCCAAAGAATACCATCACAGGGGCACTGCAACATCATGCCAATGTACGTCCTACTGCAGTAGTTTGTATCGTAACTGGCATATGTTTATGTGCATGTTTCTCTTGTGAAACCTTTGGTAGATGCCTCAAGCAGCATTAATCTGCCATCACCGCATCTCTCTTTTTATTCTGTTTTACTCCTATCCCTTTTTCCCTCTCTCATTTTCATCCACCTCACAG